CCCAGGGACGCACAAATAAATAAACACAAATCCTGTGATCCCCCATATTTGTAATATGTTATGGATTTTCGCCTCCCCCTCCATTTCCCATTGTCCTAAATTTTCATCGGGATCGACGTTTACGTGTGCCTGTACCTATGTTCCACCCCTGATCTCCGGAATCTGGAGACATTCTGCTGCTGGGATATGCAAGCATGTGACGCGCCGTGAAAAGAAGCCAACAGAATGCAGGGGTACTTGGCTGCACGAAGCCTTGCCCAAATAATCGACGCACCCACTCCCGGCATACTCCCACTGGACCTCCGTGAGAAAATGCCCCCAAAATAAAACTGCACCTTGTTGCGGGGACCAGGGGCGGCAATCATAATTCGATTTGGCGCGTCGGTCGGTCTGGGTGAACGGACACCGCCTCACGACCTACGATGGAAGGCGACGGTCGTGCCGACGACGTTGCGCGCCAAGCGTGGAATCGATCGCCATGTTTCACGGCGAAGCCTGGCAGCTGCCGCAAGAGAAATCATAACATGAACAAGCGTCTCACCCTCGGACGGGGAATCTGGCACGAAGAAGAACTCGAAAACGCGGAGGATCGGATCGCGAAGTTGCTGCTGGGCCACAGGCGGGGGAGGGAAGCGGGCTGCGCGAGGTAGAGGCCCCAAGGCACGGCTGGATTCGCTGAGCAGGGGGATGCGGGATGTCGGCGGGGAGCGGCCCAGGGGACGGGGCCTCGGCGATGGGCAGCGCGGGCAGCCGACGCTTCGCGAAAAAGGGACACGCACAGAACGACACTTAGCGGCCGGGACGTGGCACACGTTGGGGGCGCGAGCGGCGGCACCCGACATGCACCCTGGCCCGCTGGCTAGGTGTAGTTATATAAATGCTCCGTTTTGTGAGGATGTCTCGGGCGAAACCAGCACGTACAGAACTACACCTAGTGCTGGCTAAGTGTAGTTCTGAACGTGCTGGATGTCTCGCGCGGGGCGAGCACGTACAGACCGGCACCTGGCGAAAGGGACGGGGTACAGGTCGGGTGCGTCGTCGCGCCCCGCCCGGAAAGTCAGGAAGGCAGAGCCCGCCGAACCCCCTGCCGGCCTCCGGGCGGAGGTGCCTGAACGTCCCAGGGCTATCCGAAGGAATTCCATTTGCGGCCTCCGCCCACATCGCTCCCCCTATCATAGCATCTCGCCTGGTCACTATGTTCCCTATTCCCGCCCGCTGTTTTGCCCTCCGCCTCCCCGGTTCTTCCTCTACCTGCCGGCTACCATTTCCCTGAACGTTTCCCAATTGCCCCTGGCCCCTGCGTGGCGGCAAACGCCCGCGCCCCCCCCAGCTGAAAGACTCACCTTGCGCTCATCCTCCAACCCACTCGTGAGGCGCAAGTCTTGGTTCCACACTGACACTGGCAAGCGACGTCGAGGCACCGGCACATCCGACAGGCGCGATCGGGCCCCTCGAATGGCGGGCGAACCAATTCGTAAGACGATGTCGCAAAAGTAAGTTTGGAATTTGGGGATCCGCGGAAGAAGCTAATCCACTCGCCCACAATGTAGTTCTTTCTGTGCCTGTCCGACCATACTATTGTTTGTTATTTTTGAATATTCCCCCTGTAGAGGGACACGCCCGACTTAAAACTATTCTTACAGTCCTCCGTCTTCCACTGCTGGGAGGGTTTTGCCCCTCCGCGACCCTCTTCCGTGGGCCCAGACGGGAAAATGCTGCGAGGGGTTCGAGGGTTCATGTGCGTCCGAGAAGGCCCCAGATAATTCAAGATGGCCCTGGAAGATGGCGCGAGACCACCGAGGTTGGACCAGCATGGCGTCCATCATGGACCAGCATGGCGCCCCTCAAAGAGCGCGTGGGATACCTCCAGGACTGCTCCGAGGAACTTCGAAGCCTCCCAACCTCGGCGGCGAGCCCAGGGGGGAAGCGAGAAGGGGCGGGCCTTCTCAGAAGGCTCGGAAACCCCCAAACTCCTGAGACAGGTTACAGGCCGTCCGAAGGCACGGAAAGCCTCTCAAAGGCGGGAGGCCTTCTGAGAAGCCCCGCCGCCTTCTGAGAAGCCCTGCTCCTTCTCACTTCCCCCCTCGTTCGCTGCCGACCACCCCCGGGGAAGCCAAACGTCCACCCGACGCTGCCAGCGCCCCCGGGGGGGACGACGGCCCTCCACCTCCGGCTCTCCGAGGCTCTCCCCTCCTCGCCCCTGCCAGCGTGGCCAGCTGGGGACCTCCTCCTCCTCGGGCCCTCCACCCGAAGGGACACCAAACGGTGCCCCCTGGGGGTCTGGAGGGGTGGCCCTGGATGGCTTGTAGCGCGGTGCGGGATCCGACCTCCAGCATGCCCTAGAATGGGTCCCACGGGCCCGTGCCGGATCCGTCTTGCGGGCCTCCTGGGCAGTCCTGGAAGCTCTCGGGACCAGCCCAAGAGGTAATCTCGTTCAAAATGTAGGACTCCGATCTGATGTTATCGCCCAAGACGGGCCGACAGGACGCCAACGAAAACGGCCCTTGGAGGCGCCCGGAGGGGACCAGAAGAGCGCGCCACCGCCAGACGGCTGGAAGCCTCCCCTCTTTGACCGAATACACCACTAAGAACCCAAGGCGACCCCCAGAGGCCCCCCGAGAGGCTCCCCCCTAGAGGCACCCGAGGCACCCCAAAGGGCTCCCCGAGAGATTCCGAGCGGCATCCGAAAGGCTTCAGGCCCACGACCCCAAGGTGCACGGTTTCCCCAGGGGCCGTAGGCGACCCGGAGGAGGAGCGGAGGAGGAGGAGGAGGAGGAGGAGGAGGAGGAGGAGGAGGAGGAGGAGGAGGAGAGAGGAGGACGGGTCGCCTAAGCGCTTCGGAGAAACCCTCCACCCCTGGCCCCGTCGCTTGCCGAAGGAGTGCTTGCAGAGCCAAATGGCATGCCTCTTCCTGGCCCTTCCGGCGGGTTCGAGGAGAACCGCGCGTCGCACGGGCGCGTGGCTCGGAAACGAAGCGAGGGGCTCCGCGCACAACCCCCCGCCGCCCCCCCCCCCAAAAAACAAAAATACCCAGGGCTCCCCTCCGAAACCCCCACTCATCCCCCCCCCCCCCGAAAAAAAAACACCGCCCCGCAATGACCCTCCCGCCCCAGAGGAAGAGGGCGGGGGGGCTATGACACCCGCCCACCCTGGGGTAGAGGGTGGGAGGTGTGGTTTACGAACCCCTGCCCCGTAGGCGCTGGCAATCGACAACGATGACGCCCACCCACTAGTGCTGGCACACGACGACGACGACGACGACGACGACGACGACGACGACGACGACGACGACGACGACGACGACGACGACGACGACGACGGACGACGGATATGACGACAACGAACATCCCCCCTTGGTAATACGCACAACCGCACGCGGACAAGGGTCCGCGCAGATTTCTGAGGTGGGGACCCCCCCCATCGCCCAGGTGGCCCGCGGAGCGCGCCAGGTGCGGCGCTGGAGGTGCCGCCAAAGCGTGCCCAGCGCCGAACCGAGAAGCCGCGCGGACCTCCGAACCGTTTACAGTTGTCGAGGCGTATGTCGACATTGATGCTCCTGCTTAACTGTGGGTCTACCGGTGCTCACGCCCTTCCTCCTCCGTCGAGGGTCGGAGCGGCATGAAACAGTGAACTTCTGAGGGCAACGGGTCCTGGACCCCGGGGCCCGTACCCCGGGGCCAGCCTTTCGTCCGGAGTGTAGAAGAAGAAAAAAACAACACAAACGTAAACGTTTGGCGCTGCGCGTGGATTTCTTGGATCCGCGCCGGACCCTCCTCCCTGGCGCGCGGAGCGCGCCAGGAGCGGCGCCGGGGGCGCCGCCAGGGGGCCCAGCCCGGGTCCAAGAGATCAGCGCGGAGCGCCCAAAAGTAATGTCTATATTTTCCTCTTCGAGAGTCGCTGCTTGGCGGTGCTGGAGACCGCGGAGGGCCTGGGAGCCCCGCCCGAAGGGACGGCGCCAAACCACATCCTGTGGATCGATGTTCGGGAGCCCGAGTAAATCTACATCCACCGCCTGCCAAGGTGCCCGAAGACCGGGCTCACGGGCGGTGGTTACGGACAACGGAGCGCGCCGGGGGCGGCGCCGGAGGCGCGGCCGGGGGGCCCCCAGCGCAGATCCGAGAAAGCCGCGCGAAGCGTTGAAAATCCCACCAGACCTCTGGGCGTCGGTGGTTTAGAGCGTTTCCTCTTCCACCCCTCCTTCTTCCCCTTCGGGGAGGGGTTTACCCCTCCCCCTACCCCCTCCCCACTGACCTGGACAGGGGGGGCCGCGGGTAGTTAGAGCGTCCAAGATCGACTCCTGGGAAGGCTAAAATTCGACACCCCTCACGAGGATCGTGGCTCCTGAGGGGCGGGCTATAATTAGGGAACCCCCCTTCGTTGATCGATCTCCTCCAAGATTGTTCCAAAAGACGTCTTGGACCCCCTCTTGGGCTGTGCGCGCGGGCGGGCGGAGCGCCGCCCGCCCGCCCGCAAGGCCCAAGAGCCCACCAAAACGTTCGAAGACACTTCCAATACGCCACCAGGGAGGAGGAAGAGGCGGAGGAGGAGGAGGAGGAGGAGGAGGAGGAGGAGGAGGAGGAGGAGGAGGAGGAGGAGGAGGAGGAGAGGGAGGAGGAGGAGAGGAGGAGGAGGAGAAGGCGGAGGAGAAGGAGGAAGAGGGGAGGAGAACAGCTGCCGATCATCGGCGCTCTTCGTTCGAGTGCCTGGTGTAGGATGGGCTGGTGGGGATACGCGAAGCGTCAAGAATTTATGCTTCTGTGTTTTTTCTTCTTCGAGATAACCCCCAGCCTCGGACAACTACAGGGCAGTTGTTTGATACATTGGATTTTTAAAGCATAGGACTTTTAATACATGATTAATGTATGAATGAATTCATGCACGAACTCGTCGTTGTTTTTCATCCTAGATCCCTGCATGTTTAGTACATGATCCGCACGCGGAGCATGTATAAAAAACGGCCCCGTACGGTGCCGCTCACGGGGGGCCGCCGGGCGCCGGGCATCGGATCGTCGCTCTCCGGCCAGAGCGAGTCCAGCGGCGGCGCCGGCGGGGCCGCTGGGGCCGGGCGCCTCGCAACGCTGGGGGCTGTCGGCGTTCGGATCGCGGGGTCGTCGGTCGTCGTCGGCGTCGTGGTCGATCGTTCGAGGCTCGCCGTCGTCGATCGCCGTCGTCGATCGTCGTCGTCGTCGTCGTCGATCGTCGGTCGTCGGGTCGTTTTGGGTCGATCGATCGCTCGGGGCTCGGGGCTCGGGTCGAGGCCTCTGGGGCTCGGTCGTCATTCGAGGTCGTGAGCGTCTTTTTTCGTTCGGCGTTTCGGCATCGGGCGGGAGGGGGGGGGGGGGAGGGGGGGGGTCTGGCCCCGGACGTCTGCTTCGCGCGACTGCTTGGGCCCGTGCGTCCTTTCTGGGGGAAACTCCAGCTGCTCGAAATAGGCACCAAAAACAGCCAAGATCTACTCCAGGGAGGGGAACGTAAGACCTGGGTACAGGGGACTCGGAAATCCCCGACGAGGTCGTCAAAAAAATGACGAGGCCGAGCCTGCATCTTGACGAGGCCTCCCGCTGGCAGACATCCCGCGAAATTCCTCCTCGCCCAAACCCGAGGCGCGGTCGTCAAAGAACGATGGCGCACCCGAGTCCTGGCAGGCCCGGGTCTTACGCCCACTCGATTCAGGGAGGGGGGGGAGCGAGGGCCCGCGCCGACCGGCAAAAGAACGGAGAAGAAAACGCCCACGTTCGAGGATTGGTCCTCGTCGTCCTCGCCTGGTCTCTGTCCTCGCCCTCGTGCTCTTCCACGTGGTCCTCGTCTGGTCACTGTCCTCGTCCTCGTGCTCTTCCACGTCGTCCTCGTCTTCGCCGTCGTCAACGTCGTCGTCGTCGTCGGCGTCGTCGTCGTCGTCGTCGTCGTCCTCGTCCTCGGCAGTTCGAGGCGTTTGGGCGTTCGTGTCGTCGTGGACCTCCGGGAGGCCTCCCGTGGCCGGGGCCGGGCCCCCCCCCCCCCCAGAATTCTCGTGACAGCGCGTCCCAGGGGAGAGGCCCAGCGCCGCCGTCCCAGTCCTCGGTCGTCCTCGCCTGGTCGCCGTCCTCGTCCTCGTGCTCTTCCACGTCGTCCTCGTCTTCTGAAGGGGCCCCGGGACACACACATAAATACACACAAATCACAGGATTCCCCTGTATTTTCCCATATTTTCTGGGATTTCGTCTTCCCTCCCACTTCCCATAGTTTCCCATATTTTCTGGGGAATCGACGATTCATTGTGTCCGTGTGTCTTTTTCCCTCCTGATCTTCGCCGTCGTCAACGTCGTCATCGTCGTCGTCCTCGTTCTCGTTGCCGCCGCCGTCGGCGGCGGTCACCGGACGGCTGCGCCGATTCGCTCGAGCGCTCCTCGGTGCACTCGGACGTGCCGCACGATCGAGCGAGGGTCCCCCGCGGCCTACAGGGGCTGTTCCTGCTGCTGTTCTTCCTCCCTCCTCCTCCTCCTCCCTCCTCCTCCTCCTCCTCCTCCTCCTCCTCCTCCTCCTCCTCCTCCTCCTCCTCCTCCTCCCCCCTCCTCCTCCTCCTCCTCCTCCTCCTCCTCCTCCTCCAATTACTTACTTCTCCTTCAATTGCTGCTCATCCTATGTAGTCCCTTTCGTCTTTCTCCTCCTCCTCCTCCTCTTCCTACATACTCCTACTCCTCCTCCTTTCCTTTACCTTCTAAATAACTTCTCCCCGTCGCACCCCGAAGCCAGTCTTTAGGGCGGGCCAGGCGTTTCGCCTGAGACTTCCTCACCATTTGACTCTGAAGCTTAAAATTGGCAATAGCTTCACAAATGGAGGGCGGGTGGTTTTCAAAATGTGGTTCTCGCGATAGCGCCGCTCACATTCTAAAAAACTGCAAGAACCTCACGGATTGAGGATAACCCGTTTTCAAAATGTGGCCCTCGCCTTAGCGCCGCGTACATTCGTTTTTTAAACATTTGCAGGAGTTCCATAACCCGTTTTCAAAATGTTGCTCTCGCCCTTAGCGCCGCTCACATTCGTTCTAAACATTTGCAGGAGATTCGCGGGGTGAGGGCGGTTCCTTTTCAAACTGTGGCTCTCGCATGAAATTTGCAAGGGCTCTACGGATTCCCACGATCAACGTGCCAACAATGGTGTTTTGGAAAGATTCCAGATGTTGCAGGTGCAACCGTTACGTTGATTCGCAATGTTGAAATCGGCGTTCTGGCACGATCCAGGATCTTCACGACGCAACAATCATGTTGATCCGTGGCGATGGAATCCCGAGACCAGTGTTTTGTTATGCTTCCGGGTATTCAAACGGTTGTCTTCCAACGAGGCAAATCCCTCAATGGAAATGAACCGTTGTAGGAGCCTATGAAGAGGGAGCTTGGAGGGAGGGTACATTCCAACATCGTTGATGGCTCTTGGGTTTACACCTCCCTCCTCCTCTTCCTCCTCCTCCTATTACTCCGACGTGCTCCCTGCACCCGCGCCGGTGTCTTGGGTCGGCGCCGAGTCTCCCCATCCCCTGAGGAAACGACAGAAAAAAAAACAAACAAATCACACCGCTGCTCCCCAGACCTCTCCCATGGATCGTTCTGACCAGGAGCTCGAGGCGGCTCCAGCCGCGGCGACGAAGACCTCCCAGGAGGCCCAAAAGGGGTGAACACGACAGAAGGGTAGCGGGCGCGGGCGGAGAATTTTCCCCCTCCTGCTCCCCCTCCCACTTGCCCGAACGTTCTCCGCCTCATCCTGCTCCTCCCCCTCCTCCCCTCCTCCTCCTCCTCCTCCTCCCTCCTCCTCCTCCTCCTCCTCCCTCTCCTCTTCCTCCTCCTCCTCCTCCTCCTCCTCCTCCTCCTCCTCCTCCTCCTCCTCCTCCATCTCATCTGATACCCTTGCGTGACCAAGACCGAGCGAGCCATCACCTTCGCAGCGACGGCGACCGACGCGTCCAGCCACGAGGCTGTAGCCGCACTCACCCAGCCACATGGCCGCCTCGATAAAGCCTCGACGGACTAGATGAACACACAAGCTCCCCTCAATAGAGGAACAAACAACTGCATCAACACATACACACTTTCGGAGCTGCGCGCGGACTCCTTGGATCGGCGCTGGGCCCCCCCTGGCGGCTCGTCCAGCGCTGCCCCAGGCGCGCTCCGCGCGGCAGGGGGGGGTCCAATTCGAATCCAAGAAATCCGCGCGGACCTCCAAATTTGTTTGTGTATACCGTTGCTTCTTCGTCGACGAAACGGAAGGACAGCGACGTCAACCCGTGCACTGCGTGTATGGCACGATGACGGTTCCGTCTTCCAGTACTTCTGGTCAGTGACAATTCAACACCGTCACTGACGACGGGAAGGGAAGGGCAGTAGTTGGGCACGAGAAGCGGTGACCACCTCCACATCTGCCTGGATGGAACCTCTCTGACTTGACTCAACAAAGAGGCAAACAACGCAATCAAGAACAATGAAACACATCAAGAGCATGTAGCCGCTCAAGACCCTGCTCCAGGCGTTCTGCTGGCCACCTGCCTCTCGCCCCTCAGCGAGGCTAAGGCCCAGACGGCACACGCCCAGACTTGGGCACCAACAACCTCTTGGGCGCCGGAACGCCCGCGATGGTCTCCCTGGCCTTGAGGTCCTCATTCGGGGATCCAGCCCGTCCCCGCCTCAGGCTACCTCCTCCCCTGTCTTTCAGTCCCTCCTCCCTGGCTGCCCCCTCCCCCTCCTCCAGCCCCTCTACCTCCTGCGCCTAAGCCTCATCCTCATCCACCTCCTCCTCCTCCTCCTCCTCCTCCTCCTCCTCCGCCTAGTACCTCCTCCCCAATCCCTCCTCATTCTCTCCTGACATACTCCTTCTGTCCATATTTCCCCGCGCTCAAGCTTTCTCATCTTCATCTCATCCCTGTACCCTCTCACTTCCTCCCTCTTTGACGTCACTCCCCCCCTAAAGCCTGGGCTCGAGCTGCGCCTGTGCCAGTGCTTCTCTGTGGCCCGCGGCCCGCCGATCGCCTCAAACCCGAGGTACTCAGCACCGAGGTCAAGACGCGGTGGCGGGCAGCAGCTGGCCGCTTTTCCGCGCTTGAGATATACGTTGAGTGAGGGCAGCAGCTGGTTTTGCTGGCCTTCAACCTGATCGTGATTGCAGCCCTACTTGCTCAAGACGCACTCCCTCACGCCGACTTCCCTCGACCGAGGAACTTGGGGCGCGAGCTTCAGCGATGTCGAGTTGGCGTTGTGCGAAGCGTACGCTGCCAACTCCGCCTTTAGGGCGTGAGTGGTTTAGAGCGATTCCTCTTCCAACCCCCTTCATCCCGCCTCGGGCAGGGGATCATACGTCCCCCTAGCCGCCCCCCTGGACCTGGGCGGAAGATTTCGCGACCCATTGGAGCATCAAAGAAGGTTTTGGCCTCGTTTGGGCCTCCTGGGGGGGATGAACTGTGGTACCCCCCTTCCTTGATCGAGCTTATTTAAGATGGCTTCAAGATTGCCCCCAAGGATCCCAAGAGTGCCCCAAGAGGCGCCCAGGAGGCCCCTGGAGGCCCCGAGAGTCCCCAAAAGGTCCCCAAGAGGCTCCTCGGAGAGAGCCCCGACTGTGCTGCTGCAGCCTCCGTCGTGCAGGCCAGCGAAGAGACTGGAAAGGTGGGCGCTGGCGGCGTCAGTTCAGCATGGAACTACAGCAGAGGACGCCGCGAGGAATGGCACGAACGGCGAATCAGAAGAAGACACATCAAATCCAACATGGAGCAAGACACCTCTGAACGCACGCGCGGGAAGCGTTTGCAGAAAAAGACGCTAACGGATACAGTAGGAACTCGACCACAAGAAACCTTCCACAAGAAAACCCGGCCCTGAGACCCAAGGACGTCAACTGATGCTTGGCGTGGGAACGTCACGCTTTCCATAGTCAAACCACCGAAACCCAAGAAACCCAGGGCACCCTGGAGGCAAGCAGGGTGTTTCTTGCCATGGGTCTCCACTGCATGCCTACCTCCGCACGGGTGACGACAGACCGAGGAGGCCTCAGAGAGCTTCCACTGGCGCTACGAGAGCTCGAGCGGGAGCTCCGCGGGGACCCCATGCGCCACCCGCCTCTGAGCGAGGCGAGGCGCACACGGAGGAGCCCGTCAAGAGGGGAGGCGAGGAGGTGAGCAGGCCACGGCCGACGCCTCGCCCCGCCCCCCTCCCGAGGAGGAGGAGGAGGAGGAGGAGGAGGAGGCCCCGTTCGGGGGCAACTGCTACACCCCTCGTCAAAATCAGCCTCAAAAATGTATCACGTGGCTGAACTGTTTGTGGGGAGATGTTGGACAGAGTAGCGATGACTGCGAGGTACTTGTATGCGCCGCCCCTCCGATGTCGGTCGGCATCGAACTTCCGAGTCGTTCCCGGTCAGACCACCTTTGCCCTTACCCCGACGTTGGAGGGGCGTCGTATCGACATTGAAGGGCGCGCCGACATCGCAGGGGCGTGTTCGCCGTGTTTGAGGTTAATTTTGACCAGGGTAGTAGGAGGTCTTCATCAAAAAGACTAGGCAGAACTAAGCCCCATCGGAGGCTGTTGTTGTTGTTGCTGTTGTTGTGCCAAATGAGGCTGCGGATTCAGCGAGATCAGGCCGGTTTAAGCCGGACTCTGCGGGATTCGTCGGGACTAAGACGGCCAAAGTCGCATTTCGGACCAGGGCAAAGTCAGAATTTGACCTCCCAAGAGTTGCATCCGAGGCCCCGGGGCACCGCCGCCTCCACCGCCCACTCCGCCGAAGAGGAGAGGGCGGCCCGCCGAAGTGCCAGCAGGGACGGCGGCAGCGAGGGGCGAGTGCGGCGCCGAGATCCAATCGAACGATCCAGCCTACAGGGAGAATCGCAAGAAGAAGACGACATTCGGCGGCGAGTGAGGGGGGAAGTGAGAAGGAGAAGGCCTTTTTCAGAAGGCGGCGGGACATCCCAGAAACCCTCGCGCCTTCTGAGGGTTGTTTTTTCTGCCTTCGGGGAAGGCTCAGAAAAGTTCTCAGAATTCCGGGGGACTTCCGAGCCTTCTGAGAAGGCCCGCACCTTTTCAGTTCCCTTCTTGCTTTCCGCCGACAAATAGTAAGCGTAAGAAGACAAAACCTGAAGGCACTGCATCATGTGTCGTTTGCGAGCCGGCAGGCTTTAGTTCAAGCCCGCAACACTGGAATGCGATCCAAGATTTCTGAAGTCGTAGATCGAGGGTGAAACTGCGGTGCATGATGAGGTCGATAGTGAGGAAATGCCTACTTCGTTTTTCAAGCAGGCCCTTGGTAGACCTCACATCGAGCACAGTTCCGCTAAATAGGGAGCAGGGGCAGGTGGTATTCCCACGGCGAGTGAACCTACAAGGTTGAGCTGTACTTTAACCCAGAGCAATGCAACACATCAGCAGGAGTTGTTCTCTCAGCGTGCCCGTGCGTTTCCCGCCCTACGGTGTCTAACGCCTCCGTAGTTTGGCTTGCAGCTGCGCGCTGCACACATTCCTCCCCATCTTGCCCAGCTTCCTGAGCCTTACCCCTTCTTCCCCCCGCACCCCTTGCTCCTCACTATAGTCACTGATCTCTTCTCCATCCTTCCCCCCCCTCTCTCCCCCCTCGTCCCCAACCTTGATCCACATATGTTTCATCCTCTGCCTCCGCCTCGTCCGCCGTTTCCTCTCCTCCACCCCCGCCTCCAAGTTCTCCTCATCCTGAACCTGCTTCTCCTCTTCCTCCCCGCATACGAGCTTACTTCCTCGCCACAAGCTCTGTTCTCCATCTCCATCCCCCGTCCCCATCCGCCTCATCCTCCTCCACTCTCCACACTCGTTCTCCTCCTCGCTCTCCTCCTAGACGCTCCTCGCTACTCTTCCTCGGACGCCAGCTTCCCCCCTCATTGGACCCTCGTCCTTTGCCCCGTCCACGTTCCTCGCCCCACCTCTCCACTCCCTCCTCCCAATTGCATCCATCCTCCACTTGGCGGACGAAGAAACGTGGCGTCACTTTGCAACAAAACCCGCGCCCGACGGCCGCGCCGCACACCGATCTTCTACAGTTCCTCGACCGCCCACGCGCCGAACGGCGCATGGCTTCGCGCTCGCTCCCCCCTCACTCCCCTATGCCTATGCCCGCCCCCCCCCCCTGACTCCCCGCTGCTCACCCCCCCATGCCCCCATCCCCACCCCAAGCCCCCTATGACCCCCCCCCCCATGCCCCCCCACCTGCCTCTGGCTGCCCCCGTCGCCCTGCCCTGGCTGGTGCTCTTGACCGTCCTTCCCCGCCGGAGCCCCGCTGGCACCTCCGGGCCCGCTCCGACAGCCTAGCGGGGCCGCCCGGCTCATTCCAGAGCCGACCCAGGAGGAGGAGGAGGAGGAGGAGGATGAGGAGGAGAGGAGGAAGAGAAGGAGGAGGAGGAGGAGGAGGAGGCGGAGGCGGAGGATAAGAAGAAGTAGGAGGAAGAGGAGGAGGAGGAGGAGGGAGGAGCGAGGGAGGAGGAGGAGGAGGAGGAGGAGGAGGAGGAGGAGGAAGAGGAGGAGATCCCTGGCACGACCGGGAGGGCGCCTTATAGACAGCGTGCAGCTCTCCGCGCGCTCTCGCCCGCATGACAGGCCGTCTTGCCGTCTGGCGCAGCGGCCTGCTCAGCGTGTGCCGTGGGGGCCCGGCCCCAAGAGACCTCCCACGAGAAACCCCGGCCCTGAGACCCCGGGACGTCCATTGATTTTCGGCGTGGGGGCGTCACGCTTCCTCAGAGTCATCGAAGCCCAAGAAGCCCAGGGCACCGGGCACCCTGGAGGCAAGCAGGGCGTTCCTTGGCATGGGCCCACACTGTATGTTGCGCTGGTGGAGTGGGGCCCGGGAAGAGCACGCGGGGAGGGCCCCTGCCCCCCCGCGAACAGGCGCTCAGCGTACATCCCAAGCGGCATGGGCCCAGCCCAATCCAGGGAGAACGCGAGGCCGATGTTCGCTGTGCATTGTGGTTGTGGGGCCCTGAGGAAGGAGGATGAGGATGAGGATGAGGATGAGGATGAGGAGGAGGATGAGGATGAGGATGAGGATGAGGATGAGGATGAGGAGCAGGAGGAGGAGGAGGAGGAGGAGGAGGAGGAGGAGGAGGAGGAGGGGTGAGGGAGGAGCGAGGGAGGAGGGAGGAGGGAGAAGGAGAAGGAGAGAGAGGAGGAGGAGGAGGAGGAGGAGGACGACGAGGAGGATGACGAGGAGCAAAAGAGGAATGAGCTGAGGAGAAGGGGAGGAACCCGGCTCATCCTCATACCCCATTTCTTCATTCTCCGCCTCACCCTCCTCCTCCGTTGGGAAGCGACGATTAGCGTGACCCCCATCCAGATCATGCTAACCCACCCCGTGGCGATGCTAAACTTAGGTCTCAAGAAACCATATTCACGCTCAAATCGACCCAACGTGTGAATGCTCAGCGGGTCCAATGAGGTCGTGCTCAGTGCGTACAAGCGTTCCGGAGATACTCGCTACATGTGTCTTCTCGACCGTATGCGCAACGACCGCTTCACGCACCAGCCAGACCTGTCACCGCGCGCCCGACACCGAATTGACGCGCGCGAGCGAAACACTACTCCCTCCGATAATGAACAACGCGAGCGCGTACAGCTTCACCAATGCGTGCGTCCCAATACTGCTCTGTTCAGAGTTGTCCATGCGCGCGCTGCATCGCAAAGCGACCAGCGGAGACGCAAGAGCCGAGGAGGGAGAAGGAGGGGGAGAAGGAGACCGAGGACGACACGAGCGAGCAGCACGAAGACGAGGACGAGAAGGATGGGGAGGAGAAGGACGACGACCCCGACGGCGTGGAGGAATTGAGTTGAGAAGGGGAGGATGTCGAGGAACCAAGGATGGGAAAGAGGGCGGGGAGGGAAACGAGGAGGTGCAGGACTTGAATTTTCATGCCTCCGACGCGGACGCCGTCGGATACGGGGGTCGACCATGCCGCAGGCTCGATTTTTCCAAGATTGCGCTCGGAGCTGCCCGGAAGGCCAGGAGGGCCCCCTCCCAGGAACCAGACGGACCCTCCCAGGGCCACAGATGGGACGCACAGACACACACACACACAGATACCAGACGCGCGCGTCCGACCCCGAGCATATAGTATACAAATCTTGCAGTAGATCGTCTCCCGAGCGGTACAGCCAGAGAGCGCCCACCACGACGCATGTACTAGCAGATTTCTCGGTGCGCGCGTCGCCCCCTGGGGGGGGGCGACGCACACATAGTCCCCCAGTCAGTGCTTGCACTGCAGGGGTCCTAGCGGATATTGAAAAATTGGTGAAAACTTCCCGCCGATTTGGGTGGCTGGCTGTGGGTTCCCGGGTTCCCCGTTTCGGGTTCCCGGTTTCCCGGGTTATTGATTCTGGACCGATGTCGGTGGGTTCCGGGTTCCCAGGTTCCTGGGTTCCCGGTCGATCTCTTGATCGATCTCTTGATCGATCACATGTCAAGCCTCCCACTGACTGGGGCTCTCCTCCGGTGTGAGTATTCGTATGGTGGGGTGCCGCCGAGCAGGCCATAAAGTGCGGCCGCTTCCTGCGGCAGGACCTCGGCCAAAGTCGACTACACGCAAGAGTGACCCTGGGTAAGAGTGCCCTTTGGTGCGCGACTTCTTGGGGGCCGCGGGGAGACCAGACCTGGGCGCGCAAGCCGCTGCTACCGCTTCGTTTTCAGCCATCGGAGGGCCGTGCCAACACCAAAGGTCACTCCGGCGAAAGGTCACTCTTACGTCTAGTCGACGAAGGGAGTCCACTGCGACGAACCCGGGGCCCCGACCTGACGCCCATGTGACGTCGGGGACGCTCCCCGGGCCCCGAAGGGGAGCCCGAGGCGAACAGACCACCAGGGCACCACGGCGACGGGCAGCCAAGGCAGCACCGCCGGGTGAGCGTTTTTTTTTTTTTTTTGTTTCGGCGCTTCGACACTGGGCGGGAGGGGGGGGGACCCTGACCTTCCAGGAGGGCTAAAAAATAGCACGCGACTGAAAAACCTATCCCTGAGCTATTCAGTGTCTTGGTTTTCGGCTGTTTCGTTTCGTTTTTTAGGTTTTTAGGCCTCCCGTGCTAAAAAATGGCTCTCGGGAAGGTCAGGGGAGGGGGGGGAGGCCTGGCTCTGGATCTCTGCGCAATGCGGCTGTTTGCAGCAAGGTGCGTCCTGTGGGGGGGAGACCCCACCCGCCTGAAACAGGCGCCAACAAAACAGCGAAGGTCTGCTGCATGGGGGGGGCGGGCGGGCAGGGAGGGGCGCGAGGGCCCGCGCTGATCGGCAAAACAAGTAGTAAAAAAACGCCGACCTGCCTGGAGCCGGCGGATCCCGTGAGCCGCGGCTGAAAGTGCCATTTGGCTCCGAAGGCCGGAGGCCGGCCTGAATTGCTGCAGGCAGCCCAACCCGGCTCCACCGAGAGGCACTCTCCTCGAGGCGCGTCCGATCCTGGCGAGATGCAACAACAGGACAAGGGGGCTCGGTGAACAGAGATGGCGAACACATCTAGACATCCGAGAATGTTCCTGGAGAGTTGTTCACCCTAGCCAGCGGGAGACAGTGGGGTGAATAACTGTCCGGAGTGGTCCTCAGAGGCCAACAGTATTCACCATGTTTTGTTCGCCCTCCTGTCTGATGCATCGACGCGCGTCGTTGATTTTCTACGGGAGATGGTATGGCTGCTTGTCCCCACCCCCAACGGCCTTGAGGGCGGCCTCCGTAATGTCGCCCCCAGCGGCAGCCTTCGCGCGCGCCAGGAAGGAAACGAATGAGAAGAGGGTTCCATTCTTCCTCTAGTCCCTTCGTCCCCGATCCAGCCATCCTCCCACAAGCGATATTCTACACACGCACTCGAGAAAAACAGCTCGACTTCCATCCCCCTCCCCCCGAGAAGAGCGTCCTCATCCACCTCCTCTTTCTTATTCTTCTTCCTCCTCCTCATCCTGCACCTCCTCCACCCCAATCCTGTTCCCTCACTTCCTCCCTCTCATCCTCGTCGCCCTCCTCCAACTTCTCCAACTCCCCCTATCATCCATCATCCTCCTTCATGCTCCCCATGACCATCCTCTTGCACCCTCCTCCGACATCCTCCTCACTGTCGGTCCTCCTCCTTCTCATGATCATAGTTCATCATCAACTTCATCATCATCATCATCATCATCATCATCATCATCATCAGCAGCAGCAGCAGCAGCATCAGCATCATCAGCATCATCATCAGCATTATCATCAGCAGCGCAGCATCACCACCACCATCATCAGCATCACCACCATCAACATCAGCATCATCACCACCATCATCATCAGCACCATCAGCATCATCATCCTCACCAGCATCATCATCATACTCATCCTCAGCATCATCCTCATCCTCATCTTCAGCATCGTCATCATCGTCATCACCATCGTCATCGTCATCATCATCACCCTTATCACAGTCATCATTAGTATCAGCATCGTCAGTATCATCATCATCAGCAGCATCATCATCAGCAAAATCAGCCTCAGCATCATCATCAACTCATCAGCATCATCACGATAACCATCATCATCACCAGCAGCATCATCATCGTCATCATCACCATCACCATCAACATCATCACCATAATCATCGTCATCGTCATCATCAGCATCAGCATCAACATCATCATCATCATCATCATCATCATCATCATCATCATCATCATCATCTGCATCATCCGCTGCATAATCATCGGCAGCATTATCATCATCCTCGTCAGCATCAGCAGCATCAGCATCGTCATCGTCATCAGCATCATCATCAGCATCATCATCAACGCCATCAACCTTATCAGCATCATCATCAACATCATTATAAACATAGCCGTCACCATTACAATCATCACCACCGTCACCCTCATCCTCCCCATCATCATCGTAGTCAGCATCGTCATCATCGTCACCACCAGCAGCATCATCACCAGCAGCATCAACAAAACATCATCGTCAGCATCATCATCATCATCAGCATCATCATCGCCATCATCATCACCACCGTCGTCGTCGTCGTCGTCATCAATATCCTCATCATCCTTATCCTCCTCCTCCTCGTCATCATCATCGTCATCACCACCGTCGTCGTCGTCGTTATTGTCATCAGCGTCGCCACAGACATCGTCGTCCTAATCGTCAGCATCAGCAGCAGCATCTTCACCACCACCACCACCACCACCACCACCACCACCTCCACCATCATCATCACCACAAGCAGCATAGGCATCATCATCGTCGTCGGCATCAGCATCAGCGTCAGCATCACCGTCATCATCATACTACGACTACTACGACGTATAATAACAACAAGTGTAATACACGGTCTCCTACTCATCGTGATCATCATCAACATCATTACCACCACCAGCATCATCATCAACACCACAGCCATCATCGTGTCAGCAGGATCATTGTCATCGTCATCGTCATCGCCATCATCAGCATTATCGTCATCATCAGCAGCATCATCACCTGCATCATCAGCATTGCTAACACTATCATCATCATCATCATCATCATAATCATCATCATCATCATCATCATCATCATCATCATCATCATCATCATCATCATCATCATCATCATCATCCACCTTCACCTCCACCTCCACCTCTATCCCTGCCCTTTTCTCCGTCCCCATGCCTCCACTTCATCCCCCTCCAACGTCCCCCTCAACTTCCTCCCCCTCCAACGCCCCCCTCCCCCCCACTCGCCCCCGCCCCCGCGATCTCCTGCATGGCCCAGTCGGCCACCTCCACATCGGGGGCCTGCGTCGGTTTCGGCGCGGGCTGGCCTCGGGGCATGCGCGAGGAGGGGGGGGAGGAGAGGGGGGGGGGGGAGGAGAGGGAGGCACAGCAGTCGCGAAGCGAGTGGAGGAGGAAGAGGGAGGGGAGGAGGCGGAGGGGAAGGGGGAGGGAGCTGGAGGGAAGGAGGAAAGATCACTAGGAAGTGCGGCAGGAGGCAGGACAAAAGGAACTCTTACGGCAGCGGAGGAAGAGGAGCCGTGAAGACAGACACGCGCTCGGTTCATTTCTGCGCATACCGCGGCAATACAGCCCTGCGGGATCAAATACTGTGCAAATGAATGTTGGATGGCAAGGCGCAAGGTGAGTCAAATGTACGGGTCAGAGAAGCACTGCCTCCATTCAAAGTCAAATGCAGCTTGGGCTTGGGACAGGATGCCACTAGCGCTGCGCTTGCATGACATCGCAGTGCCTCGATGAGTTCGACATCTTTGTACTCGCCCAGTCGTGCCAGCTCGTGACTCTCGGGGGAGGAGAGGGAGAGGGGGGATCTGTCGCCTCGCCTCATTTCCTCAGGGTGTTGTCCGTAGCGAGCAGGAGTCCAATACCCATACCTGGAAACGCGTCTCCAGGTCTCGAACAACCTTCAGGATCAGGTATGGTGCAGGCGTTGGCATGCTGTGCACCCACCCAGACCATCAAGGTCAGCTTACTCTGACATGGGTTTGGGGAACACGGTTTGAATCGATCCCTGCTCGGCTCGCAACGCACCCTTTCCCTCGCTGGTCCAGCAAATACGCTCGCCAATGTTTGTCATGGTGCGTCGATGTATTTGCTGCGTGTAGATCGTCAGGGCCAAACCCCCCTTCTCCCCTCCTTCGTCCTCACCCGTCTCCGCATCTTTCATTTCCTCCTCTATGTACTTCTCCTCCTCTATATCCTGCTTCTCCTCCATCTCCATATCCTCCTCCTCCTCCTCCTCCTCCTCCTCCTCCTCCTCCTCCTCCTCCTCCTCCTCCCCGCCCGTCATAACGCCTCGGCCTCCATCTCCGTTCTCTCGCCACCCACCCTCTTCCCCCATGAGCCCATCGCGATAACGCCCGTGACCGTCCCTGCCCCCCCCCTCTCCCCTACTGGTTACGTCACGACTCGCGCCAAATGGCGCCCGTGCGCCCGTGCGCAATGTCACCATCCCCAAATGGCGCCCGTGCGCATTCTGTCACTGGTCCCCTTCCCCCACAGTCACGCCCGTTATCTCCAGGGGATGAACAAATCGTCTATATCTCGCCCCCCCTTTCTTCTTCGGTCCCTCCTTCGTCTGGCCTCCCCCCACTGATCATCCCCCTCACTGACACGCCCTCCCCACCCCTCAGAAAGACTTAGGATTGCGCACAGACAGCCCTCCCAAGCAGTCGAGGCTGGCCTCAGCACGCCCCTCGAACAGTCTGGGGGTGTCTCAACACCTCAACACTGAAGGGGCCCCAGGACACACAAATAAATACACACAAATAAAAATATCCCCAATATTTTCCCATATTTTCTGGGTTTCTGTCTTCCCCCCCCACTTCCCATATTTTCTGGGAATCGCCGATTAATTGTGTCTATGTTTTTGTTTCCCTCCTGAATAACACTGGGGCGCGGGAGGCGCTCCTGGGGCGCCGCCGGAAGCTGCGCCAGGGTGTTGAGACCGCCCCGGGCTACTCGGTGGCCTGTTTACGCGGGCGATAATTGATCACCGTACCGAGCCTCGAAATTTCATTCCCGAATCCCAGGCGCAAGTCATTCCCAAATCCTCCTCAATGATCTTGCGCGAATCGGCATCTACTAAAAATGCCTCAGGGATGCTGCCATGGTACGGTGCATGAATCTAGTCTGCGGACTGTTGAGGCCAGCCAGGACTACCTGGAGGAGGCTGTGTTCGCAAGCCGAAAACTGAGGGTCGGCTAAGAATACACCACCCCCACTGGGGTCATAGAAACTGACAGTAATTGGGTCATCGTTTCGAAGACCCAAAGTAACATCCGCTCCAGGCGTCCAAGGGAGCCCCTGGATGAGCCCTGGGAGAGACCCGACGACGCCCCGCGCCCTCCTCCCGCCCTTCCCTGCCCTCCCTCTACCTTCCCTCCCTCCCTCGCTTGCCCTCCCCTGCAACTTCTTGGGATGTCTGCGGGCCCGCCTGGAATGGCGTCCCGAAAATGCCGGCCAACGCGATCTAGTTATTGTGGTGCCGCGGGGGTGGGGTATAATTTGTGCAACGAAAAAACATGCTCATGTACCCCACCCACGAATATACTCCACCCGCAGAAGGACAAGTTCGAAGGCGGCGCGGACGCTGGAGGCCCGTCGGGGACTGCTCCGCCTGGAGAGCCCAGGTACTCCGAACTTTCCAGGAAAGACGGGGAAGAACGAACGAAATATTTGTCCTCATTTTACGCGATGCACTCCCGTCCCCGCTCCCCGCTCCGGGCTCCAAGAGGGCGCTGGGCAACGAGGGCAACGGCAGGCCTGTCGCGCCGTCGGCGCCGGCCCCGTCCGCCTCCTCGCGAGGGGGCCTCCACGAAGACGCCGCCGCCGACGACGACGACGAGGACGACGACGACGACGACGACGGCGGCGGCGGCTGCGGCGACGGCGACGACGGCAGCGGCGGGGCGCGCGCGCGAGGGCGCTGTCGTGTCCGCGATGATGCGGGGGGTGGGCGAGGAGAACTTTGGGTTGGGGACCGGCTCAGGTAGGAAAAAAATCTACCGAGTCGGCGATACATCGCCGATAGCTCGGCACTGGTCCCCCGATAGCGAATCCGCACGCAGGTTTGGGCCATCGAACCCTATCGGCGATCACTCGGCAAGTAGGGGTGTGGCGCATGTATTTTGTACAATCTATGTGGTGCACCCTACGTGGTGCACTCTACTTTGACTGTCTTGATGCTGTCCTCTCTACTGCTCGTGCAAACATCCCACCCTCCCACCCGCAACTTGGTTGCAAGACCTCTTAAGACCGTGGCGATAGGTACCAAATGGCACTTGGCAACGACAGCGACGCCGACGACGACAGCGACGACGACGCCGCCGACGACGACTACGACGACACCGACGACGACGACGCCGACTTCGACGACGACGACGGCAACGACGACGACGACGACGATGCCGCCGACGAAATAGGAGGGACGACGACGAACCGCCGATGACGCCGACGACGGACGACGACGACGACGAGGGAGGAAAAAGGACGACCACGGCGACAACGACGACGGAAACGACGACGACGCCAAAGAGGACGACGACGGCGACGACGAGGAAAGACAGGCTGATCACGCCGACGACGATGACGGCGTTTTCGCGTCGGCGATGAAGGTTTTCAAAGGAATTCGAAATGCGCGCGCGGCAGACGCGCGAGTGGCTCGCATGGTATTATTTGACACGGACCGTGCCACCCCAGCACGCGCGCATGGGCGTTCGAACTATTTCGACATGCACGCGCGCGAAACCCGTAGCATTTCACGCACATGTTGAAAAACGTATGGTTCTCGTCAGAATTCGCAAGAGCGCGCGCGCACGTTTTTTTTATAATCCGTGTTGCGAAACCATGTGTTTTCCAATGTTTGCTGGGACAGCCAATTTTTGAATTCCTTTCGAAACCGATGGTTTTTGAAGAATTTCGGCATGCGCGCGCGACGACGCGCGAGCGCGCACTTCGTCTCATTTGTTGCAAGGGACTTTCGCGACGGCACGCGCGCGCAAAGGCGTTCGAACGAGTTCGGAATGCTCGCGCAAAGCCTGTTTGGTAGCACGGGATTAACAATTTTGAAACCCGTATGTTTTATAATATGCATATATGTATAACGATAAATTCAGGAACGACCACGTTCTGTGTTTGAAAATCCGTGTTGCGAAACCCTGTGTTTTAATATGTTTCTTGGGTACTCGATTTTGAAATCCTTCCGAAGCCGAGAGCTGTTGAATGATGTCGGCACGCGCGCACGACAACGCCCGCGTGCGCATGTCGTCCTATTTGTTTTCAAAGGACACTTGGAAACTTATGACGTTTTATAAAAGAGTGCGCGCATAGTATGTTTTGCAAAGGATGGCGGGGGGGGGGGCGATACCAGCCCCCTTTGGGATAATGTAGTGTAGTCAAATGGACGATGGAGCAGAATCATATGGAAATTTCAATACGAACAGGGGGATCGTTAAGTCTGGGGGGGGGGGCTTATTTTTCTTTATGGAGGAAAATATATGTGGTGAAACATATGTTATGCAACCGACGTTATGCAACCTGTGTGGCGCAATCTACGTGATTCAACATACGTGGTGCAATTGACCCTAACCCACGAATTGACACATCCCACGTTCTTGCAAACATCCCACACACCCATCAACAATTTGGATTGCAAAACCCACGCGGCGGCGATTGCGATGCATGCTTTGCGTTGGCTGGTGCATCTCTGCGGCCACGCCAAGCTAGGCACGTGCCCGTAGCGGCCAACTAGTTTGGCGCGACCGATGCGGCCGCGGTGGCGCTGACCGCTGGGCACATCCCAACGGGCACTTCACTGCGAGTCTGCGACTAGACCGGGCGCTGTATCATGGCAATGTCGACAACGGTTGACACGATGATAATAGTAGCGACGATGGTGACGATGACGAAAGAGCGGCCAGTGCGGGCGCCAGTGCTGATCACGCCGACGACGATGACGGCGCCCCCGCGTCGAAGATGAAGGTTTTGGAAGGAGTTCGACATGCGCGCGCGGCCGATGCGCGAGTGGCCCGCATGGTATTATTTGACACGGGTCGTGCCCCCCAGCACGCGCGCAAGGGCGTGCGAATGATGTCGGCATGCGGCGTGAGGGGCCCTTTTTGGCAGAATTCCATAAAATGCTGAAAAAAAACAATGGTTTCCGCAAGATTCCGCAAGATCGCGAGCGCACGCTTTCTTGACAACTGATGTTGCGAAACCATATGTTTTGCATGTTTTTTTGGACCGTCGGTTTTGACATCGCTACGAAACCGGAGGTTTTTGCCGGATTTCGGCACGCGTACGCGACAACGCGCGCGCGTGCACTTCGTCAATTTGTTTGCGAAGGGTTCTCGCGACGGCACGCGCGCAAGGGCGTTCGACCGATTTCGACATGCGCGCGCGAAGCCCTTTTGGTAGCATGCTCCAATCAGGAAGAAAAACCTATGGTTCTCATTCGCCAGAACGCGCGCAAAAAAAACTTGCTAAAACAAAAAATCCGTGTTGCGACACCATGTACTTTCGCATTTGCTTTGGACACTCAATTTTGATATCCTTACGAGACCGAAAATTGTTTATAAGGATTCGGGCATGCGCGCGCGACGACGCGCGCGCGTGCACGTCGTCCCACTTTTGGCAAGGGAGACTTGAACACTCATGATTTGTGAAAAACGAGTGCGCGTGCATAGATTTCTGTTGCAGAGGATGGCGGGGGGGGCGAGATCGGCCCCCTGGGATTGTGCAAATTCTGATTTAGGAGGGACGATTAAATTTAAGTATACAATCATATTTAGATCATAATTGGCATGGGCAAAACCATATTGAATTACATTCCGAAATGGGGAGGAGGAAATCCTGGGGTGGGGAGTACGAGTTGATTGCCTTCTTCGAAAGCAGAATGTGGTGCAATCTACGTGGTGCAACTCATTTGCTCAACTTGTAGCTGTCCTCTCCACTGTTCGTGCAAACATCCCACCCTCCCACCCGCAACTTGGTCGCAAGACCTCTGAAGACCGTGACGGTGGGTACCAAGTGGCACTTGGCAACGACACCGACGCCGACGACGACAGCGACAACGACGACGACGACGCCGACAACGACTACGACGACGTCTCCAACGACTTCGACGACGACAACGACGACGACAACACCACCGACGACGACGACGATGACGCCGACGCTGACGACGACGACGATGACAACGCCGACGACGACGACGCCGCCGACGAAGACGACGACGACGGCGACGACGAAGACGACGACGACGACGACGTCGCCGACAAAGGCGACGACGACGACGAGGGAGGAGGGAGGACGACGACGGCGACGACGACAACGACGAGGGAGGAGGGAAGACGACGACGACGACGACGACGACGACGACGACGACGACGACGGCGACGAAATAGGAGGGACAACGACGAAACGCCGACGAAGACGACGAGGGAGGAAGGACGACCACGGCGAGAACGACGACGGAAACGACGACGACGACGCCAAGACGACGACGACGACGACGAGGAAAGACAGAGGACGATGACGGCGACGACGACGACGACGACGTCGAGGAGGAGGGAGCACGGCGACGACGACGACGACGACGCAAGAGCGCGCGCGAACGCTTTTGTTGAAAATCCGTATTGCGAAACCTTGTGTTTTGTATGTTTTTTGGACACACGATTTTAACATCCTTCCGAAACCGAAGGTTTTCGAAGGATTTCGGCATGCGCGCGCGACGACGCGCGCGTCTGCAGTTTGTCCCGTTTTTGCAAGGGATTCTCGCGACGGCACGGGCGCAAGGGCGTTCGAATGAATTCGACATGCGCGCGCGAGGCCCGTTTGGTAGTTCTTTTTTAAAACATTGAAAAACCTATGGTTTTCTTAAGACTACGCGAGAGCGCGCGTAAGCTTTTTTAGGAAATCAGTGCTGCGAAACCATGTGTTTTTGTATGTGTTTTGGGAACTCGATTTTGAAATCCTCCTGAAACCGAAGGTTCTTGAGGGATTTCGGCATGCGCGCGCGACGACGCGCGCGTGTGCATTTCGTCTTATTTGTTGCAAAGGGGTTCTGAAAACTTATGATTTTTGATAAACGAGAATGCGCGGATAGTATTTGTTGCAGAGGATGGCGGGGGGGAGTGATACCGGTTTGGCTGGGATAATACGAACTCATACTTAGGATGAAAATGTGTGTAGAATAAAAATGAAATTACAATACCCCAAGGGGGATCGTTAACTCTGGGGGGGTGAGTCTATTCTTCTTTTAGAAAGGAGAATTAATGCTGCGCCATCTATGTTGTGCAGTCTATGTGATGCAAGCGATGCTGTGCAGTGTATGTGGTGCAAGCTATGCTATGGAATCTATGTGAAGCAAGATATGTGGCGTCGACGAGGAGGCGACGGGGCAGCGACTGCGGCAACATAGCAGCCAGAGCAGGACACCAGCCCAGACAACGGCCGGCGACAAGGCGGCGACCGGGCGGCAACATAGCCGCCAGAGTGGCACACCAGCCCAGACGACGGGCGGCGACGAGGCGGCGACAGGGCGGCGACGGCAGCAACATAGCCGCTTGAGAGGCACAGCAGCCCGGCTCCCTATAACAGAATCCCAAATGCAAAAACTGTTTGGGGGTCTGTAAATTATACACACATATAAGCCCACATCTATATATATAGATATATGTATATATATATATCAATATAACTATAGCTGCAAATGCAACTGGAACTGCAACTATAACTACAACTATATCTACAAACGTACATACGCATGCAACTACGACTACAATTATAACTATACGT